TCTATTAAGGTCTGAAGGCTTCTCCATGATCGGATGTCTACCACGATTTTCTGTAATGGTCTTGAGATGGAACCTTTCATCATCAAAACTGGGGTTAAGCAAGGATATGCTATTGCTCCAACCCTGTTTTCCATCTGTTTAGCAGTCATTTTGGTCCTCATTAAAAATCACCTCCCCAGTGGAGTTGACATCCAGTATAGAATGGATGGGTGGCTCTAGACTTCGAGCGGAGACATCCATTACTGATCTTCAGTACGCTGATGATTGTGTCATCCTTGTGCACACTAAGAATGACTTTCAGTCCATACTGGATTTTCTTGCACAAGCTTACTGAAGCCTAGGACTCTCACTCAATATTCAGAAGACTAAAGTGCTCCATCAGCCTGCTTCAGGCCTTGCACATGACCCACCACAAATCACTACGGAGGGTCAGACTTTGGAGACAGTTGAGCACTTCTTCTACCTCGGAGGCCAACTTTCTCAAAATGCAAAATCTACAGTAAGATCCAGCACAGGATCTGGTGCACAAGTGCTTCCTTTGGGAAATTGCTCCGACGCAATTTTCATGGATCGTGACCTACGGCGGGACACCAAGATTCAGGTCTAGAAGACAATTGTTATTCTTACACTGCTCTGTGGATGCAAAACCTGGATGACCTATCGACAACACCTGAAGAGTTTGGAGAGGTATCACCAACGATGCCTCCGGAAGATCCTGTGCGTCAAGTGGCAAGATCGCTGCACTAACACCAGCATCCTCACTGAAGTCAATGTCCCCAGCATTGAAGCAAAGATCCTCATTGCACCAACTTTACTGGGCTGGACATTGTGTGCGGATGCCAGACTCTTGCCTCCCAAAACAAGTCCTCTACTCTCAGCTCACCCATAGTCAGAGATCCCGGGATGGTCAGAGGAAACGCTACAAAGCCACACTGAAAGTATATCTTAAGGGGAAGAGCAAGCCACCAACTGATCCCAATGGCACCATATCCTCCATCAAGCAGTAGCCCGCTTCAAGGAGAAGTGCCTTGCCCTCTAAGCTGAAAAGAGAGAAGAGGAAGGAAATAAGTGTCTCCCAGCAGGCCACTGGCCTGCCACAAAATGTCTGTACCTACTGAGGGCGGATTTGCGGTTCCAGGATCGGACTCCTAAGTCATCTCAGGGACCCATATGTAAATCCGTGGTAGAGATCATCCTTGAATCGAGGGATCGCCAATCAATCATCACTACTGTCTCAATAAGGTGTATTTTAAGCAAGATATTGCACATGGCATGTACAATGCCTGAAATCTGCCGATGAAGTCTGAGTAACAAATTTACTCTGACATGAATAATTGTTCTTGATTCATATAAAAATATTATTTCTTTGGAACAATTTTTATGATTTTGAAAATGAAATTCAGAGGAATCAGGCTTTCATTGAGGTGGTTCTGAGTGCCACTGGATACATGTAGAGACAATCTATTACAAGAAAATTGGCCACATTTTATGACCTATTGTAACTCATCTGAAGCTCTGCCAGTCCATTCATCTCTATAGAATGTCCTGGTCTATCTGAATTCTCTAGGGAAGTTCAACTAAAATAATAGACCTGAAAGCTCTCTAATGTGAATGCGATCAGTAGGAACTTTCTTCTTTCTTCCCCAGAGGGTTTCTTTCTTAAATGTTTTTTGTTCACGTTCTTTCTGCTAATCTGTATATTTGATATTTTTCCCCCTTTTTGACATCACTTCTATATGAATAATACTTCAGTTTAGGACCACTGCCACCTGGTGTGGCTGTAAACCCTGAGGAAGCAAAAGTGGAAAGAAATATATTTTTGCCATGATGCACCCTATTGTGCTGAATTTTCCCTTGTTATATTTTAAAGTCACAGGTCCAATGGTTGCCAGTTACTGCTGTATGCGTAGTACCTTTGGTAATCTAATATAGTTAGAGTAGGAAATACTGCAGTGCCGCAGTTATTAGGGAGTTTTTTATAGCACCCCATGTACACATGGTGGAAAGCATGATTTAACAAACATCCAACAACTATCTGAGTCGGAGCCAGCTCCCATTGAAGCCAGTGGAGTTTTACATTGACTTCAGTGACCGCAGGATCAGGCTTATCAGGGCCATCGCTGTGAATTCCCAAGTGTAGCCAAGGCCTATATGTCTGAAGATCCAAGCATTTAAGGCTAAAGATGAATACTCTGATCGTGCATCTAAAAATCTATGCAAGGATTTTTTAGCGATGTGATTTTATGATCTTCAGCAACGCACTAATATTTTTAAAGCAAATTTTAAACTAAGGTCCCATAGACTAACATGTTGTGAGTAAATATTAGAGTAATGCACAACTGTTCTTGTCAGTACATTCAGAAACTGACACTATATACCTGGGGGTTGGCAAATGCCTGTTAAATGGCTTCATTACCACTTGAATGGCTCTTTAACAGTTGTACAAATAGGTCTGGCAGGCTGGAGGCTTTTTCACTTTTAAGTACTAGATCCCCTCTGGAGGAAGACTCACCAGACTGCAGCAGCCAGCTGTGGTGGGAGCCTGCAGGAAGGGTCAGAACAGGGATAGGAAGAGGTGGGACACTAAGACCCAGGGGTACCCCAAATTTTTGGGTGCCCCATGCAGCTGCATATGCTGCATATGCCTAAGGACAGCTCTAATGCTTATTTTGAGACCGAATTTAAAATAATTCAATTTCTGTTCAATATATCGGTTCCAAAGCTTTCTTTTCAGGAAGCTATCTGCGACCAGACTTTGTGGCTATGCTTATCGGGGGTGGCCAGGCATGTTAATATTCTGCAGACACAAGCACAGGGCAAGTACGCCTCTGCTTTATTGTTAAAAAATCGCCCAGAGAGTTTGTCAGATTTCTCCAATGGCCACATATCAGGAGAACACTATACACAAGACAATATGGCTTTATTTCTACAACCAAAAGGCGGAAAATTGCCTCTGATGGAGGTTAGAATTAAACTTAATCTATGGGCAGGTTAATTCATTGTTGTCCACTATGTTGTATCTTTCTTTCTGTTACGTTTGATTCTGGTACTGTCAGAGACAATATACTGAATTAGATGGACAACTGGTCTGATCCAGTATGGTAATTCAAAGGTGCTTTAAAAATGATCTTTCAACTAGAGACCTCCAGTCCTTCATCCCATGGTGGGTACTGCGGTACCCTCTATAGAATGGTTCAGTTTCACTCATTGGTTTAATGCACACCTAATGGTTGGATTGTAAGCTTCTGGGGACAGGTACCAGCTTCTTAATGTGTGTGTACAGTGCCTAGCACAATAGGCTTTGATCCATGGCCAGGGCTTGCAGGCACTGCCACAGTAGAAATAATTAATAATTGTAATAATTTATAATAAATCACAGTTACATAAAGAAAAATAACTCCAAAGCGCACCTTGCTAGGTTAGCTACAGATTCCCCCCTTATGCAGCTGGGGAGCTGCACCATCACTTTCCAGCTTAAACTGTGACCTTCTGGTTCTGCATCTTCATTCCACATCTTTTATTCTAACGTAGTAGTTTTCAGCCACCTTGATGGCATTGGGCCATTTTTGAAGGGGGGGGGGGTAGAGGGGCAGCGGGGAAAGTGGACCACCAAGACTTATTAATACATAATTCAAATGTTTGTCAGCAATTCCTCATGATCCCATTAACAAAAATTAAATCAAAGGTGGTAATAAGGATGCATTAAAATACAGTAGTTACTTAATGTGATCAATTTGCTGTAACAGGTAATTGATTATAACTTGTATTATCTTCAGCTGCATTGCTGTATAGTGCCAGATTTCTTCAGAACAGCTGGTATAGTTTTAAGAAGGAAAGGGGAAGGAGCAGAAAGAGATTAGCAACTTGGGGCAGGTCTGCACATTCCTTTCCTTTCCCCTCTTGTGAAAATGGATTGGCCTTGGAGCGGGTTGGGAATTTTTGGAAAATGCCGGATATATGTATGAAGCTGCAAATTATTAATCTTTAAAGGAGCCACATTTCTAAACTGGGACTTGGAAGATTTTAGATGAACCGAAGAGGGAGAGGAAGTGTGGAGTAAAATTTTGAAAAGGGCCTAAGTCCCACTTTCAAAAGTGACTTAAGCCTGTAGGTGCAGATCCGCAAAGGTATTTAGGTGCCTAACTCCCATAGAAATCAGTGGGAGTTAGACACCGAGATGCTTTTCAAAATCCAACGAGGTGCCTATCTGCATCTGAAGGCACCTAAATATCTTCAAAATCTGGCCCTTAGGAGCCCAGATCTCATTGGCTTTCAGTAGAGTTTAGGTACCTGTGTGCCTGAATCACTCTTGAAAATGGAAAGCAGGCTCCTAAATCATGTCAGTGCTTTTGAAAATTTTATCCATGGTCTAGCGGTTAAAGCACAGGACTGGTAAGAAGACTGAAGTTGTGTTCCCAGCAATGTGTGATCTCGATTCACCTACTTCATGGCAGTGTGAGGCCAGATTCAATGAAGTACTTAAATGCTTTGAGAGCCTTGAATGGAAGGCACTAACGAGGGACAAAGTACTGGTATTAAAAGTATATAAAATAGATCCTTTCAGTGCAGGAACTTCCAAGTGCTACAGGGAAGTGGAGTGTAACAAGAGAAAACAAGAAAGCCAAAGCGATTACACATTTGCTGTTATTTTTTCAATGACAAGGGTCTAGTCTGTGTCCTCCTTTTGTAATCCTCCAAGTATTTGCTCAAATTTTGATTGGATATCTCTAGTTGTTTTATTTTCCCACTTCACCTTCAGGCTTCCTGGGAAACCTTGCTCTGGTATCCCCCACAGGTCTAAGGCTTTACATCTCAGTAAGACTGATTTTGTTACATAGACTCCTGCTCCATTAACACAATCTATAGGTTACTTCTAATCCCTGGAATTGATTTATTTAATCCTTGTAGATGCCATTTATTACACATTATTCTCAGCATTTATTCACAGCACAAACAGATGGTCAATGAAACCAATTAACCTTTCCCGATCTCCCTTTCAGACTTTTCATGTCTTCTGAGTCTATGGACAAATGAATAGAAACTATCAAGAGACTTCATGCCAGACTGTGATGAATAGGATGGCTAGTTGGTGTACATGCAGCTTGCTCAAATAGACCCCAGGACCACTAGGCTGGAGCACCTGAGGAGGGCTTATTTAACAAAACAGGTAAGGAGAGAAGAATTATAAGAAATGGAATGACCCATGTTTATTTTCTGCTGTTAACTGTGGAAGAGGACAGCGTAACCTTTTTGCTCCTTTTATAGGACATGCAAGATGTGAAGAATATGTATTTTGAGTATGACATATGAGTGTTTATTGAAAAAACTAATCCTCTGGATAATCAAAGCCTTCAGTATACACTGTGTGAATATAAAAAAAATCCATTTTATTAGCCATATACATAAGTAGCGATCACTATTTTTTGCCCCTTTGTCTTGCGTTAATATCCAGTAAAACAAACCATGTACATTTAGAGGAGTTTAGTTATTGTGGAGACTTAGGCTAAGACTATTTATTACCGAAAAAATAATATTGGGGTGAATCAGCTTTTTGATCAATACATGGAATGATGTGGGCGAGTAGCATTTATGTTGTCATTTTTTGTCTTTAAAGTGTTATGCAGGCAGTTAATTAGTCCTTACAGCATGCCTGTGATAGGTAAGGTGGTGGTGGTGGTCTTTTTTTACAAGTGAGGAAAATGAGATAAAGCAAAAAGAAGAACAGGAGTACTAGTGGCACCTTAGAGACTAACAAATTTATAAAATTTGATAAAATTGAGATAAAGCAGTTGCCCAGCTCCACAGAAAGAGTCTATATCAAAGTCCTTAATTAGAAAGTTGGAAGTTTCTTTTGCAAGAATACCCTGGTTTACCTGCTTTGTCTTGGAGGTGCTATGTTGCTTAAAGGTGTGCCAGACGTTTGTACTAAAGTCGAGTTATTTCTGTCTGGGCACCTGCCTGCGTAAAATACTGATATTTTCTTTCCAACCCACAGTTATCTGTGTATCCCAAATGCTTTTTGTGCTTGCAAGGTGTAGATGGGGACAAGAAAAAAACCAGACCTGAATACTCTTTATCTTGAATAAAGTTTAGATTCACATCAAGGGTCCATCTTTAGTCCATACATTTTACTATCTCCCGTGCTATCTCTTGACCAGGGACTGGTCCTCAGAATATTAGGGCTATTCAGATCTGGTCTACGCTTAAAGTGTCAGCAGCGTAACTGTGGGGGTTTTTTTTTTTTGACATTGTTCTGTAGATGCAGTTATACTGGTATAAGATGCTTTATATCAATATAGCTTATTTTGTTTTGCCAAAGTTAAGTTTTATTCCAAGATAAACACTTTTATAGTGGCATAACTGTGTCCATGACTAGGGTGTTTTGCCCTTTAAACTATGCCAGTAGACGAGGCCTCAGTAGTGATCATAGAGGTTTCAGTGGGAGTGGAAATTATAATCACACAGAATAATTTAAGATCTTTAAAAAGCTCACGTGAACAATGTTTTTCATGATAT